GTAGAAAGGGCACATTAGGAGTGGGTGGTTTTGGCTCTGAACAAGCAGCACCGGGGAAGGTGAAACGCAATCAATTTCTACCTTTGTGCACAGCAGTAGACAAAGAGTTGTTTGGAGTTGGCAAAGAAGAGGAACTCATTTAATCTGGATCACAGATTAAATCTGATTAAGAGATGTGAGTGATGATACACTGGGCATCCCCCCCTATCCCTGCATCCTGCATCCTTGCCAGACTGTATCCAAAGGGCTGAAGGAAATGTAAAGAGCAACCTCACAGCAATGCATAAGGAAGGGCTTTAAAAACCGTAGGTCCCACCAGTAAAAAGGCTCAACCCGCAGCAGTGGATGGATTTATGGGGAGGAACAAGCAGGGATTTGGAAATGAAAAGTTCAGGGTCAGGTGAGAAGACCCCGGGGAGGTATGAGTAACACCAGACAGGCATGTCTACAGCCCTGGACAGAGAAAGATGGGGGACCTTGTGGGAGATTTTTGCTCGGAAAGCCTTTGGTGTAAGCAGAGGGGATGGGTGTTCTCACTGAACTGCAGCAGAACCTGGGGGCAAGCGGGATAGCACAGATGGTGGCAGCCACGAGCTTGATTTCAACAGTGATAGGCAAGTTTTAGATCCTGCAAAGGAGAGAGTTAACAATAGCTGACATGCTTTTTTTCTGGGGAAGTCACAATGACTAGAAATAACAACTCGGGGCCATAATTCTGCAGTCTGTCACTACCAGGAAAGAGGAAATCCAGTGACCTTTCATCTCCATGACAGAAATGCTGCGCAGCACCTGGAGCCACTGCCCTAAAAATCCACTCTGACAAACTGGACGATGGGACACGAAGGAGAAAACGTCCTCTCCCTCCCTCACCCCCAAATTTTAGCCTCCCAGTGAACTCTGCGTGCTCTGTGTGTAATGCGGTACCCCTTGGTGAGCAGAGCCAGCTTTGCACGAGCTACAGCATTCTGCAAAGCACAAGAGAACAATTCTATTTCTTTTGACAATAAGGAATAAATCTCAAAAGCCACTTGTTCAGACTGCTCTTAAATGATGGTAGAAGGAGGGAAATTGATATTGGCTTTTTATGAATCTTCAGGTCAGGTATGTTAGAATCAACAGATTTTTGCATTAACCTCACTGCTTCACAGCACTTTTGCCCTTGGCAAGACATAATTAAGAAAGGCAGGAAAATCTATCTGAAGTATTGAGAGGAAATTATTCTCCCATTAATGGCAGCAACAGCTAAACAAGCAGGCAAGCCATACTGCTAGCAGAGTGCAGCAAATGATGCAGGGCTAAACCTAAAACAAGGATTTTCCTTACCAAAATTTTAAGAAGTAGCTTTTGAAATGAGGACTATATGTTGTTCTGGGGATTAACATTTTTCCCCCCAAGAGCTGTATCCCTTGAGCTCTTCTGTTTGCCAGTCTAAAATGATGACCACAGGGACTGAGATCAAGGTAAAATCTTGTGATCACACTGAAACACAACACTGTAACTGTCTTCATCACTTTGGTAGAAAGCAAAAGCTACTGGACGGAAGGAAAAAAAACAAATTAAAAAAAAGGGGGGGTTCAGTCATTTAAGTGGGTCTGTCAGCTTATGTTATCTTCATGCATTTGTGAAACTGAGCTTTAATTGACTGGCTGCAGTGGAGAGCTGAAAGATAAAATCTTGGTCTCTAGATGAACAGACAGCTTAAAGCCTTGCGATCCTTATTCATCAGCATGTGTCAGAGCAATTCAGGGGGGAAGAGACACTGCAATGTCTATTACTCTTTCACATGAAGTTCCCAAAATGTAAGAGGGAGGTGAAGGGTATGCATGGCACCCAGAGCCACGTCCAAGAGTAGTATCAAAATTTGCTCATCAGATTCCCTGTGACGACAAAGACTATTTTGGCACCTACTAATTTATATCACTGTGTGAACTATTTCATTTCATTTGTGAAGGATAAAGGCAAAACTACAAGCCAACTATTAGCCAGTCAGCTCTAGCTGCAGCAGGAGCAGAAAGCCCTGCCAGATGGGAGCGTCTCACATCTAATCCCTACAGCCTTGCTGGGAGGCAAGGAGGGGTCTAATTCCCCTCCACAGTACCCCCCATGTAGATATGCTCCTTGATCCCAAGTAACAGCCGGGCCACTGCCCCACCTCTCCCCTTCATCCACCGCTGGCTCAGAGCTGTGCTGTGAGCCCTCGTCTCCCTGGCCCCAGAAACCAGGATCCCCAAGGCAGGCAGGCTGCTCTCAAGGGGATCATGAGAAATACTTCCCTGCCTAAAACAGGTTTCAGAGAACTTTGTATCTGTATCTCCAACAGACGAGTGAAGAGAGGAATGGAGAAATTTGGCAAAACCATGGTAGAAGCCTCCTGGCTTCTAGCTGAGGGTTCCAGTCACTACACTGTGCCCTGGAGCCCCTTCAGCAGGTGGCCGATTTTCCTTCTGTCCTCCCATCCCAGCTCCCATCCATGGGAGCTGCTTCTATCCCTTTCCTCCTGGTTATCTGGGCATTCTGATTGTTTTTGTAAGAAAAATGATGCCCACTCCCAGCCATCCTGGATGTTGGATACTACAACACAGAAAGTCACTGACTCACGAAGTGGAGGAGTCTAGTTACTGGGGTTTGGTAGAGAAATCACAGAGCCATAGAATAGTTTGGGCAGCAAGGGACATTTAAAGGCCATCTAGTCCAACCCCCTTGCAGTGAGCAGGGACATCTTTAGCTGGGTCAGGTTGCTCAGAGCCCCATCCAACCTGACCTTGAATGTTTCCAGGGATGGGGCTTCTACCACTTCTCTGGGCAGCCTGTGCCAGTGTTTCAACACCCTCACTGTAAAAAACTTCTTCCTTTATCTAGTCTAAATCTGCCTTCCTTTAGTTTAAAACCATTACTCCTTGTCCTGCGCAACAAGCCCTGCTAGTAAGATTGTCCCAACATTTCCCGTAGGCCCCCTTTAAGTACCGGAAGGCCGCTATATGGTCTCCCCAGAGCCTTCTCTTCCCCAGGCTAAACAACCCCAACTCTCTCAGCCTGTCCTCATAGGGGAGGTGCTCCAGCCTCCTGACCATCTTTGTGGCCTCCTCTGGACCCGCTCCAACAGGTCCATGTCTTGTGCTGAGGACTCCAGAACTGGATGCAGCACTGCAGGTGGGGACTCACCAGAGAGGAAGAGAATCACCTCCCTTGGCCTGGAAGCTCCTGGACCTGTATGAAGCCACCTTCAAGTCTGCTCTCCTGGGAAGCCTGAACAATGCTCACAGTTTGGGTTCATGGGATGTGAACCAGAAGGAAGGAATTGGCTAGTGCTGCCACCGTAAATGAGGGGGATTCAGCATGGTACCCTACACGTGATGGAACACAGAGGCCAGACGCACACGAGCGGCGTTTGTTTGGGTGTAAATGAGTCTGACCTGCGGAGACAGGCACAGCAATGGCCAGTGTTACCCCTCCCACTTATCAACCCAAAACATTAGTCTTGTTGAGTGCAATGGGAACCTCACACCCAGGTGCAGCGGGCCATGTGTGAAGATGGTGGATAGAGCTGGTTAACATACCTTTTCTCTGAAGTTCATCAATAACAACAACAATCACCCAATGAAATTTCCTATGAACATTTTCTGCTTTTCAACAGAAACATAAAACTCTAAATGAAAACCTTTCAAAATATTTTTGAGTAAAAATCATGGTTTAATATAAACCTCAGGATTTCAAGTAGTATTTTTGGTATAAATTTCCAGATGTGCCTTAATTTTGCCAATTCCTTTAGTAAAAATATTTTGCATTTCCAACTCTCAGCTTTTTCTCTGTCTTAAAGAGCAGAAAATGTGTTGAAAATGTTATTTCTTTGTAAACATTTTCATTTAGAGCCAATTAGAGATCATTACTCTTACCCAGCAGCGATGATGTATGTAAGAGGAAATATATACGGATAGTGAATTCTAAAAATGAGAAGATGAGTCTTAAGTAGCCATTTCTTATATGTTAAGAAAACCATGAAGAGGTTTATGTGAGGCTAGCTCTCATTTTCATCTGTCTTTGTATCTACACTAGGAGAAAGGTTCTTTTCCAAAGACATATGTGTGTACCAGGGAGACCTTGGAAACAGATTTATTTTGCAGAGAGGTATTTTCAGTCATCTCAAAACCTTTCTTGAAAGTATTGCTGAATAAGACTCCAATTCATTAAACTTGGACAATGAGGGCCAACACTATACACACAAACTCCAACACACAACTAACAATGTTACAGGCTTGGTGTGTGTCTTACTGGCCCCAATGGAAGTTTTGCTATTGATTTCAGTGAGTTCTTCCTTGGTCTTAGGTAATAACCACTGGTTTCTTAATTTAGCGACAGAGTCTCTCTTTTCTTATATATTTGATTTCATGTTAGACTAATTACGAGAAAAAAGTAAAGACATGAAATGACTATCACCAATATCAGGTCTCAATCCTATAAAGCCTTACTGCAGTCAGCAATCCCATCAGCTTCACTGTGAGGACATAGGCCAGGAAGGGCAGCTTTAATTTTCACAGATGCCACCCCGTAACTGAAGCTCACACACAAGGAGAAGTAACAGGCCCAATGCCAGCCTGTGCTGATGGAAGCAAATCTCCTGGCGATGCATCAGTAACAACATTCTTTTATATCTCTTTGTTAAAGGCAATACTGTACTTTCTTACCATTTTTGCAGACAGGACAACATTGTTCTGGTTCATAGACTGGGTTGACACACTCAGGAACTGCGCAGTCTGCTACAACACAGTGAACTTCATTGCTGGGCTCGCAGCGACACCATTCGCATGGCGAGGGCTAGGAACAAATCTGAAATTAGCCCATTTCCTCCTGTAGCTCACAAGTTTGCAACATTTCTATCTTGCCATAAGATAAACACATCAGCGTTCAATACCTCTTGACTGCATTCATTCATCATGGGCAATACAAATTAACCTGTAGGACAAAATAGCAACATCTGAAATAAGCAACCAAAACATTAGAAAAACCAATGAGTATGATGCTTCGTTTTCCCAGAGAGGGTGTGGGGTTTTTTAGCTTTCTCAAGACTTTAGGTCTCTTTGTCAAAAAGACCGACTTGAAGCCACCAGGTCATATCTCTGCTCTGCCCATCTGTTGTTAACTTAAATATTTGGCTGGGAGCAGAGCAGGATTTTTGGAAGACCATGAGTGGTGGGAAGGGAGGACAGGTGATATTCCAGGTCATCCTCGTATCTCACGTAGACCACCACTGCTAGCAAACCCCAAGCTGTTGGAAAGGTGCTGCTGGGGTGGCCTGTCTGTCTGCCAGCCTCTTTATGTGCTGTCATTCTCACTTTTCATAGCAGAGGAGCGTCGTTCTTAGAGGGGCAAAACCACTTTATTCTGTGTTTGTGCAGCACCTGCATCAGGGGTCTCTAAGCACTCCCATAACCATTAGATCTTGTCCTGGCCCTACTCCTGACTGTTTCATCAAGGTTTGTGAGCAACTGCCTCACACAGACTATGTAAATAATTAAAAGCCTGAATAATTTTGCTGAAGTCAGGAAGCTCTGGGTTAAAGCACCCAGCTAAATGGTGTCATTTTGGCTCTATCAATTCAAACAGGAATCTCTATGTACCTCCAAACAGTAGAGAGTTGTCACTGTCTCACCCTTTGAAAAGCTGTGGAAATCTGTTGAAAAATAGAAAGGTCAGTCTTTTAAGGTTCCCAGTGTCCTTATGTGTGTGCAAGTGTGATGAGAGGATGACAACAGAGACAAGAACGGAGAGTAAGAGGAGAATTTGAAAGGAAAATAACTTCCTTTCAGTATCTGTAGGTTCAATACCTCAGCAAGGGCAGGCCCATCACTAACACTTGAATGAGTTAAAATATGGGTATAGGAAAAAATTCTGCTTTCTGTTGCATTGGTGTGAATCTGCAGAAATGGGAATTCCTCCATCTTAAAAAAAAAAAAAGTGAGATGCAAAGGAAAGGAGGATTCATCCCCATGTGTTTCAGATCCCAGTGACGTGTCACTCATTTCTACAACACCAATATAACCTGTGAGCCCTGGTTCTGGCAGGTAAAAAGCTTTTCAGTTTACCTCTAAGAAGCTCCATATGTCTTGAGTCAAATAATTTATTCCCAGGAAATTAATTTCTACCTTAAATTGCACTAATTAAAGCTTCCCTTGCTTTGCCTCAGCATCTGCAGTCTGTAATTCCCATCACCTCTCATTTGCTCATGGCTTTGGCAATTTAGATAAAATCAGCACTCCTTGAGCAAGGGAAGAAGTCTGTGGAGGTGGAATTCCTCTCTCTAATTATCTTTCCTCATTCAATCCTGCTTTGATTTCTGTCTGAAGCACCAGAAATCTAAATTCGTTTGACTGACATTTCTTATTCAAGGCTATTTAATAAGAAGAAACAATACAGAAGAAAATAGACAGAACTATTTGCTGAGGGATCAATAAGAAAATTGCTGCTTTGTTTTTACTCATTTTAATCGCTTATTACATGGAGCAGCAGATCTTGTGATTTGTGGAGGCTTTCACTGATGTATCCTTCAAGACTTTTCCCATCTTCACTACTACAATGGCTGCAATGCTAAGAAATACGTGACACGTTTCCAGGACTGTAGCCCAGTCTATGGCTTAAAGATGATCAGCACAAGTAGAAGATGTCCCTGAACGACTCTGCAACTGAGTAAATGAGACATGACACACATATCTTTTGCTTTTGCATTGCTGATGTAACTTGAAAATGACACTCTAATACACTGTGATGTTGTTTGACACTGAAAGCAGCTTTTCAGGAGAGAAGAGCTGCACACAATGAAAGAAGGAAAGCACACCTTGGCAGTACAAGGAATGAGCAGCCAGCAAACGAAAAGGCCACTTTGCCGTGAACAACAAGATTCTTCTCAGCCACCTCCTCTTCCCCATCTTCTCAAGTTCAAGGTACTCAGTCTTGCCTCTAGGATCTTCCTCTATCTGAACTATTTTGTTCACTTGCCAGTGCCCCTTACTGTGGCTCTTACCCAGATGCCACCTCCATGGGTGACTCCAGCCTTCCTGTCCACTTATTTTATGCATGTCTAGCTACTTTCTCCCATGGGATGTGCCTTGCGATCTGATTTGCAAAGCCCTGCTTTTTCAGAAAGGATTTCACCCCAAGCACACTGATGGAGCATCTTTTTACTGTTGTCTGTGTGCTTTCCACCCCTGCTATTAATTTCCCTGGGGCTATCCTTTTTGTTGAATAAGTATAGGACATTGGCCAAAAACCTCCTTTATTTATTTACACAGGCATTATGTAGAACAAGCAGCAAAATAACAAACTGGGAACCAGTGAAGAACAGGGTACCAGTGAAAGATGTCTCAAAGCTTTGTTTCTTGATTCTTCCATCTGCCTTATTTGCCCTTATTTTTCTCCAGATCACAGCAGTTACTCTTTTGTGGTCAGTGGCATTCCCACCCACATGCTGCTGCTTCGCTTGCTCTCTGTCCCAGCGCATGTACTGCTTGCTCATGATTAGGATCATTTCACAGGATCCACCAGGCAGCTCTGTCAATCTTTGCAAAGTCCTAAAATCTGGATTTGAAGATTCATCCCCCATGGAAGAGACTACTTTTGTAACCACTGAACTTCAAACACTAGCTAACGCCACTGCCTGAAAAGAAATTCTCACCCATACTGAAAAACAACACATAGGGTTTCTGAAGTATAAAAGAGAAAGGACACAAATCAGAGGCTATGCCATCCCACATGGACAGTGCAAACACTTCATTGGTGTCTCTTAAACTGATACTCTAGAAAAAGTATTAAGATTAAAGGATCATAAAAGGCTTGAGTCAGAAGATGATTTATTCACTCCACCTGTCCAAGGCAGAATGATCTTAGAAGACTCTCTAGGGAAGGATTGTTAAGAAGGATTTACAGAGATGTTGGTGCAGAAACATTCTTCTCACCATTGTCCACAACAAAAGGATGTTCACGGTGCCCAGCCATAACATGGATACACATCCACATGCAACTGCATGGTCTTTTACTGTTCAATGTACGTTTTAAGAAACGGACCTTTTATTAAAACCAGAGGAGCAAACTGGGTCCTTTTGTAGAAGGTATCGGTACAGCATTCTGGCTTGGGAAAACTGGTGCAAAGCACCTGAAGTTCTTAACCAATTTTCACTTACAACAGGGGTGAGAGCACTAACTCTCAAAACTAGTGAGGAAATAGGTCCTTTGATACTGTTGTCAGTGCATGGGCCCAGTCAAGCCAAGTTGGCGCGAAGCAGATGTGGCCAAATCTAAGCAACACTCAAGGGCTTTTGAGAAGAGATGGAGTGGGACACAGAGCACAAACGACCTTCTCAGTCTCAGCACTGATCCTGACTCACCTCTCCTTCAGCCAGTCGCTTCAAAAGAGACCAAAGAAGCACAAGGATGTGGACCCTAAGCACCCCTGTTCGGCCCAACTTCTTTTTCTCTTCTGGACTGCTGATCTCCAGGACTGTGACCTCAGGTTTGGCTGGGAGGGAAGGTTCATTCCCTGCTTCTACCAGGGGATGGCCTCGTCCCACACAGTGGAGCAACCAGAGGAAGGAGCCAGCAGTCATCTGGTTGCATGGCTAGAAAACCTTAGACTCAGGTGCTGTCAAATGGGAAACATCTGTCATCAGCAGAGTTTGTTAACAAAGAAAGAAGGAAGGAAAATTGAAAGAGAGAACAGAGAATACACATGGCTAATAAAGATTTTATATGCATGAGCAAATAATGATAAACTTGATAGATGATATAAACAAACAAACAAAAAAGGCAGCAAAGGAAACAGAACGAAAAACAAGATACACCCTGAGCAGGGGAAATCAGGAAACCAAACAAGATGCGGCTACCATATCTCCTAATATTCACTCTCGCTCCCATACACACCAGCTCCCCACTGTTTTCACCCTCTTTTTGGAAACAAATGTCAGCACATGTAGGAATTTTGATTGCTAACATCATCCAGCTACTCCTCCCAGTGATAAGGGGCTCCCTTTCTTATAGGGCTCAGTCAGAAATTTCCTACCTCTGAGAGGCCTACACTTGAGGGCTCCAGCAAGCCCTCAAGTTATCCAGGAGGACTGGTGGACAGACAGAGAGATAGCACAATCAAATAGTTCTTTGGGAAAATAGCCTAAAATACTAATTTTTCCCAAACCTAAGGGAGAGGTGGAGAAAAGAAAATGGAAAATTGAACTAAAAATTCAAGTGTCTTTTATGCTTTTCTACAGCTGAAGAGATCTGAATCAAACATCTTTTTAGCCCAAGGCAGCTGGTGCAATCACACAAATAACCAATACACAAAACTTCAAGTTTTTAGGCAAGATCTTGCAAGAAGCTTCTGCAAGACCTAAGCTTTATTGCATCTGAGCCACCTCTTCAAGTCACAGAAATTCTCTTGTCCCAAATACTTACTGAACCTCACCTGTATTTCACGCTTAGCTCATGCCTTGTCCACAACTACAGCACCCTAAGCCACCTCTCTACTGCCCCAAACATGTGGAAGACTTTTCTGTAACATATAGATTGCCCTGCAAAAGCTTATTACTGAGTAGTATTCTTCAGTGAATGGAGAAAGCGTATATATATATATATATATATATACATATATGAAACATTATACTGCAGCCCTCCTCTTCATTGCCTCCAATAAGGATTTCTCTGTTTACATGTCTGCTTGTCAATCACTCTTAGCTGCTTCTACACAAACACCTCCAGAGAGGTGGAAAGGGAGTGATTTACGTAAGACAAACAAAAAACTCCGAAGATGGCATCTGATTGATACTTCTCCT